TCCTCCTCGCTCCCTCCGAGGTCCCCTCCTGCCCTGGCCTCACGGTCACCTGCTACCCCTGTGGCTGCCACCTTCTGCCCGCAGGGGTTCCCTCGGACTCCCTGTTGTCCTACTTCCTCTTTCTTTCTGCCACCTTCCTTCGTCCCTACTGTCTCTGCTCCTCGTCCCTCTGTGCCTCCCATTTTCACTCCTGGCCCTTTTGTTCCTCCCGTTGGTGTTCTCCCGGTGCCTCCCTTTCTGATTTGTCTGTCTGCCTGAGACGCGCCCAGAGTGTGCATCTTGGTGGTGGTGGGGGGAGGGGGTTCTGTCAAGACCTGCTCATATGATCCTCCTGTGTGCCACACCCCCTCATTTACCTCATGTGAAACCCCGATTGTGACCAGCTGCTTCCTGTTATTTCTGCTTGTCTTGTGTATTTCAGTCCGTGTTAAAGTCTGTTTCCCCAGGTCTGTCATTAACATGTATACCGTGTCTGTTCATCTACCCGAATTAAATCCCGTTTCTAGACTTTTGCCTGCCTGGTTGTGATTCCCCGCTTCCTGCTCGCTTAGCATTATATACGGTCATCACAGTGAGCGAAGGAGCTCAGCTAGAGGAAAATTAGTATAAGATAACTGTGATTCTACTGTGCCTGGAAATGTGTTTTATGTGTCAAAATCTGGCAGCAAACCTGTCTACGACTCAGGGGCTGTACCATTGGACCCGGCCCTCTGTGACCTTTCCTTGTTTGCCCAGCAGGCATTGCCGGCAATTCCGCCTTCCCTCCTCTCTGTCGTTTACTCCACCCCTGTCCTATGTGTTCGGTCCTCGTTTGCCCAGCAGGCATTGCCGGCCATTCCGCCTTCCCTCCTCTCTGTCGATTACTCTACCCCTGTCCTATGTATTCGGTCCTCTTTGCCCAGCAGTCATTGCTGGCCATTCCGCCTTCCCTCCTCTCTGTCGATTAATCCATCCCTTTCCTATGTGTTCGGTCCTCGTTTGCCCAGCAGACATTGCCGGGCTTTCCGCCTTCCCTCCTCTCTGTCATTTACTCTACCCCTGTCCTATGTGTTCGGTCCTCTTTGCACAGCAGTCATTGCTGGCCATTCCGCCCTCCCTCCTCTCTGTCGTTTAATCCATCCCCTTCCTATGTGTTCGGTCCTCGTTTGCCCAGCAGTCATTGCTGGCCATTCCGCCCTCCCTCCTCTCTGTTGTTTAATCCATTCCTTTCCTATGTGTTCGGCCCTCGTTTGCCCAGCAGTCATTGCCGGCCATTCTTGTCAGATTTAAGGTAGTCTGGGCAAAATGTAAGTGGACGAATATGCAGTCCATTTAAGCTGTGGTACCTTAAATCCGACAAGTTACCCCGATAAGCCAGTAACTCCACTTCGTAGTACAGTGGTCTATATTTTTGTTTCTTGTTATCTGAGTGTAGTCTTCCTCGTTTGTGTTTTCTAGTTTCAGTGCTTGTTAATTGTTCCATCCATTGCTCGTCCTGCACCTTCTGTGATGTTCCACACCTTACTCCTCTCATTAGCCCTGTTACCCTTTGTATTTAAGTGCCTGCCACTGTTCAGTTCTTTACTTAGTTGTTGTGTGTTCATGTTGCTGTGTGTTTGAGATGCTGATTATCTTGGAATCCTGGTTCCTTGTTGTGTTATTTTAGGATTCTTGTAGTTGGTTCTTGGTTTCCCTGTTTGCTTTTTGACCTCTTGTGGTCCTTTTAGGATGGAATGGGAGATCGACAGACAGATTGGTGCGGCATCAGCAGTGATGTGGGCACTGCATTAGTCTGTCATGGTGAAGAAGGAGATGAGCCAAAAGTCAAAGCTCTCGATTTACCAGTCGAGGAGACCCCGGGGAAGACCCAGGACATGCTGGAGAGACTGTTTCTCAGCTGGCCTGGTAATGCCTTGGGACTCCCCCGGAGGAGCTGGATGATGTGGCCGGGGAAAGGGAAGTCTGGGTTTCCTTGCTTTAGACTGCTGCCCCCGCGACCCAACCCGGAAAAGCAGTAGGAGATGGATGGATGGATGGTGGTCCTTTTTTGTGTCTGTCCCAGTGTGTTCTGTTTTTCGTTAATAAACCCATTTTATCATGAAGCTGCCAGTGGATCGCCACCCTCATTCCTGCTAACATCAGCCCGTGCCGTAAGAGACACACAGAAATGGTTTTACTTCTGCAGAATTCCTAAAAATGACATGAATGTAATCATGCTGTTATCACATATTTCAGGAGTTCAGACTCCCACATCTGGGGATTATCTTTTACTGATCCCCCTCATTCTTTATGTAACTTCAGTTTGGGGAAAAAGCTGTGGAAAGTGCAGTGAAAGCAGCACATCGGCAATGTCGCTGCTATGGATTTTAAACTGATCGATTGGCTGTGGAATAAAAAAATAGGCTAAGGCTTAAGTATCGGAAATAACAGCTCAGCTGAGCACAGTGCCAACGTGAAATCCACAACTGCAGACAAAACCACACACAAAAGAACAACAGATTCTTTATCTAAATGAAAGAAACTGAACACAGATGATGAGTATGTCTGTGATTATGTGCATGATTAAGACACCACCCTCAAACCCACAAACATTACAACACATTTTTACAATAAACATGAGATACAATTAGCTGAGATGAGAGAGGTGGTATGGAATTCAGGTTTCTTACTTTAAAATCAGTGGGGGGGGGTTCAATCATTAACGTAACAAAACTTTTCTCATGGTGAGTCAGGAGGCAGCGCATCTTAAACCAATGAAATGCAGTATCATTTATTTGACAGTCAATAGCAGAGCTTTTCACAGGGCTGCTACATGTGATACAGCACCGGTCATCCGGGTGCCAAGAGTGTTCATCATGTAACGGCAACTGGACGTTTTAATTAAATTTTATTTATCTATACACTTTGTCGATACGAGGGTCCCTTGGTGCTCTGGGGTCATGACAGGCAGATCATACTACTAAGTAGTACTACTAACATACTACTAACGCAGTGCCTGCACATTTTGTACTAAAACATCTGATTCATTTCATCATCTGATTATTTAAAGGTCTGCTCTGAACGGCAGGCCAGGCCACCGGAAAGTCTTCCGGCATTCCTGATGGCCAGTCCGGGCCTGCTCACACTACTGTGGATGAATAACAGCCTTCTGGGGTTGGTGTCCCTTAACACTGTAATTACACAGGCATGGGTTTCACTGTTTGCCTCTTGAAGAATCAAACTGTTGTGTAAGTAATCTGTGTAACACTGTCTCATTATTAATAAAGTGTGGTCAAAAACAGAATAATTATTAAACATCAAAAATCTAGAGCTAGATAAGTATGGAGTACAGCTGGAGAACTACAGTTAATACAGACTGAACAAAAATGTTGCAATTGTAATTAAATGACCTGTGGGTGTGCGCGTGTGTGGGGGAGGGATTTGTGTGGAAGGTAGTAGGGTTAATTAAGTGGCTACACCTGGACATTGTTGTGTGGGGCGGTATTAAAAGAGGTAGGTGACCTCGGGGGGAAGCGGCGTTTGATAAGATGCACCCTGTCAAGCTAAGCAGTCGTGGGTTCAGGGAGTTGGGTGCCACTCGTATGCTGTTTAGGGCTGTCGGCGGTGAAGATAGATAGCAGGCTACAGGGTCAGGTTCCGGTGTGGGTTAGGGCGACAACAGTTAGGACCAGGGGCTAGGAGTGCGACGGCCGCTGCTTTGCCAGGGGTTCCTGGTAGGCGCGAAAGGCAGAGTCTTCACAGTGCCGGATTGGCGTTTGACTTTCCTTTTGTTCTGAAAAACATTGACTGAAACTGATCTCGGGGGAAACTAAGTTTTAATCTTGTCCTTATTTTGTTAGTTTTCTGTGTATTTTAAGAAGGCAGCTCAGCCAGCCAGTGGTATGGGTGGGATTAGAAGGTACTGCACACGTTCACGTATCTCTTGCCTGTGCCTCATGTGTGGGATTTATCGTGCTATTGGTTTGCTGTGCCTTAACTGGGATGTTGTGTGGTGTGAGCTTCACTGTGTGGTAACGTGTTTTGATACGCGCTTGGGAGGGTTGGTTTGCTAGTGGGAGATAGTTGTGAAGAACTGTTTGTGAACCCAGACCTGACCCTATGGGTTGCTGCATGAATTGTATTTAATAAAACTTTATCTTTGCAATCGTAGCTGATGTCCTGTGATGATCTACTCTTTCCTTACAGCCTCTGACGCTATTCTAGGTTTATTACACAATCATGCACAATGAATAAAACAGTTTGTAACGTTTATACACAATGAGAACAAATCCAACTGCTAAACTAATTAAATTTGGTGGAAATGCTTTTGATTGAGGCCAAGAAATTGTGAAATATTTACAAATGCAGGGAGCCCGGGGTGCGGTTCCCCTCGGGCGTGGGGCGGGCGCTTACCAGCAGTGCACCGAGTGCCCTCCAATGGTCCAACATCGGCGTTAATCTCCGGTTCTCTGTCTGAACTCCCGCTGCTCCTCTTTCCGTGTTTTTCCCAAGCGCGTCTTCGTTGTAACTCGGCTCTCGTATATTTCGGTTAAAAACAAGCAAGCGAGCGGCTGTTCTCTTAAACTCGAAGTTCGGAAGCATTCCCTGTTCATAGGAATTTGGTGTCCTCTGAGACATACAGTATCTGCCTCGAGTGTGTGCAAGTTACGGTTACAGTTATAGTACAGGGTAGGAAATTTATACATGCATCGTGTTTGTTCTTATTATTGTGTTTTCATTCCGAATGAAGCTCAGAAACAATCGATCATGTTGGATGTAACTATTAGGCTACACCGGGGCGTCCAAGTATTGCAGTGTTCTGCTCAGGATACAGAATTCATTTCATCCATCTGTCCACAGTTTAAGACTTCCTTTATGAAGAAGATAATTTTGTTGAAAAGCAATAAATATTGATTTTAGATAATGAAATTAAAAGTAGTATGCTCTCGCTTTTCCTGAATAGTTTTATCCATGATCGAATTCTCTGTGAACTGGTCTCCAAGCAAGACCACCTCACCTCCCATTAAACTCAACAGACGACGTCTAGGAAAAAAAGGTTTATTTGAGAAACAGTGTAATTTCATTCCTGTTACATACGGCCGTTTGTTTCCGCTGAAATCTGACAGAAAGAGAAAGCAGACCGTCGTGATTATTAAACGTTAGGGAGAATGCAGGTTTTGGAGAGCCCAGCGGAGGTCTGCATAAACATGAGCACCGCGATCTGGCCGATAGGGATCCGAACCCCTCAGCTTCAACATGCTATAAAGCCGCCAGCAGGGGGGTGTTTGAAAGCTAAAAACTGCGTCAGTAAGCCTCGGGAGATCAGATTTCATCACGTCGTAATCTGATCCAAGCATGTGTGTTGTATTTTTTTTATTTTTTTTTGTATTTTTTTCTTTTTCTAAATATGACTTTAAAAAAGTGAACCCAAGTTTATAGTGAAACCTTAACAAATCCATAATTCATTGATTTAGGGTAAAGGCACCATAAAGAGGAGGACATAACATCTTCAGATAATATACTTGTTTGAAGCCATTTCAGCAAATGTAAAACCAGGAACCTGTCTGCAAGCTGCACCACTTTCTTATTGTTATGCTTGGGAAAATTTGGATAATGACATTTAGCATTTCATTAAAAATTTTGTCAGTGTAAACAAATAAATAATTATATACAACTGATGTCTAATTTTAAAACAAAAACATCTGAGGCAAAACGTGAATAATTTACAGAAGAAATTATAATACAATCTTATAAACATTTTGTCCCTCTAAAGCAATTAAAATATAAAAAGCTAGCACACTTTTTTAATTTTAGGATTGACTAAAAAACAATCAGAAATTTACTAAAAACAGAACATAAAATGTTTTTTAAAGTACTCATTCAAAGTAACAGAAAATTATGTAATTACCTTCAAATTTGTGCAATCGAAACGGAATGCTGTGATGCTGCATTAATGAGGAAACCCTCAGTTACTAAGTGAATGTCACCGTGTCGTTTATGGGTGCAATGTGGCACTTAGCAGTCATTAAAAATAAAAATGACAACTTGTAGACAACCGTGCAATTAAATCTGAAAAAAATCATAGAATGGTGGTTTTATAGCATCAAAATGGTAATAAGTTCAGTAAAAAAATGTATAATTCACCCAGGCATATATTTGTAGAAAAATTATGTATAATGGAATTTAGGGTATAGTTACTGCAGGCTTATGAAATTCTGATCTGAAGGCTTCTGTCCTGCCTGGATTATTACTGGAAATATCAGCTTCTGATTTTTTTAGGTAGAACAGGAGTAGGTGCTGAGGATTATAAAAAAGTCATAGGTTGAGGTGGCGGTGGACGATGAGCATGTACTACAACATGATATCGTGGCCTGTGCTTCGCTGCATCTTTATGGTACAGACTGAGAACAGAGCTGCAGCACTGGGTCTGGATCATTTTCAGTCCTTTGTGTGACTTTGCAAGCATGGTGACTGGGGCTGGAAAACCCCATTTCCAGCTGACAGGATCTAGTTGTCTGCAAAGGGAGAAAACCAACAGAATGAAAACACTAGTTGTAATCATTAAAATAAGTTACTATTTAGCTGTGATTGTTCATCTGTTTGGAGTAAATGTAAATAAACCAAGTAGGGAAGTTGGGCCTGTTTCACAAATGAGAATTTCTTGCATTTAGTCCAGATTAAATTTAAGTGAACGGAGATAAAGCCCATTTAAACTGGGGCACCTTTAATCTGACTAGTTATCCAGCTAAGCAAGAAACCCTGCTTCATGAAATGGGCCCCCTGACCCCAAAACATAATAATAAGAAAAATAGGAAGAAGAGGAATTCGGCTAATAGCGATAGCGTCGATCTCACCTCTGCACTCATATTTCAGGTCTGAGAAGAAGACCAGCTCCTGGGAGAAGACAAAGAGGCCCAATCTTCCCCCAGCAAAGGTTCTGTCATAGATGGGACCAGAGTCGGCCATGATCTGCTTTCCTTCGTAAACCACCACCCTGTCAAGGTGGACAATAGCAGTTAAGCAATGTAGTGTTAATATAGGTAGTATAGTGGTCAAACAGAATAGTGTTTAAGCAGGAAGGGTAATGAACAAAATAGGCTCGGTACCTAATGAAACCAGTCTTGGGTCTGTGTATGAGATGCCAGCGATAGGCGGTGTAGTCCTTCCAGCCAATGTTATTGGGGTCATGCCAGAGGGTGCGGACCTGCTCATAGAGAGTGAAACCAGGAAGCCATGAAACATCCACCACATGAATAAACAACCAACATGTCTAACTGCAAGAGTCACCAAGACGAAAGGCTCTTAAAACATGCCAAAGATGAGAGCTTATTCTTCGAGTCTGTGTCCAAGGCAGAGTTTTTCTTAACTAGGCCCACCTGCTGCTTGGTATTGCCCGTGTGCCACAGCGCGTTCCGGAGGCTCTCGCCAGTGCCCGTGGTGGAGTTGACCACCTTGAGTGAGACGCCGGAAATGCCAAAGGCCTTGGAGGGCTTCTCCTCCCAGTAGGTCTGTGTGATTTGCTTCCACATTACTACGTAGAAGCGCCGGCTTGACTGGTAGCCAAAAACGAAGCCGGCATAGTCATCATCCCGATCTGTGTTCACGTAGAAAGTGCCGCTGAAGTCCACTGCATTGAAGACGTCGAAGCCTGTTGTGTGAGCATAACACCATCAGAGCTTGGACACTTAGCATCAGGGTATGAGCTAAGCAGCCATGCCATTCAGTGGAAGAAGCTGCCCGGGGCAAGCTATGGCTGTGGGGGCATGATGCCCCATTTCTCAGCCACTTGCACTCCTGAGTAGCAGTGATCAGGCCACCTTCACCTGCATTTCAGCATGAACTCACCCACAGCGATGCCAGGATCAGAATTAGCTGTCTGAACTAGCTCCTTGCCCTGGTTTCTCACCACCCAGTTGGGGTCAATCTGTGTCGTCCCCTTAGGGTCAAGGTGAACCATTTGGAACTTGCGAAAGTCGGTGACACTGATGGCATCGTTCTCTGGGCAGGCGTCAAGGATGTCAGGGATGCTGTCATTGTCAAAGTCATCCTTGCAGGCATCTCCTCGGCCATCTCCTGAGGGCAGGAGGGAGCAAAAGGCTTGGGGATGACATCTCCTCCATACTGCAGTCAAGAAGCCCACTCCCCCTCCCAATTATAACAGCAAGTCATTGGCAAAACATGCTTAATGACCAGCCAGTTTCACTTCCGAGACCATTTGACTGCAAAGACAATTTGTCACTTTTATGAGAGCATGTGATCAGGATTGTGTATTTTACCATAAACCCAAACCCATTGCTACACCAGTTTATAGCAATGACAGCATCCATGGTAAGAGGAGGTTTGTTTGGGGAACACACTCCATCATGAACCCTGGTCTTACATACACTCCATCCTGAGCCCTCCTTTTGCACAAGCTCCATCCTTAGCTCTGTTCTTAAACACGCTCCATCCTTAGCCCTGTTCTTAAACATGCTCCATCCTGAGCCCTGCTCTTTCACACGCTCCTTCCTGAGCCCTGCTCTTTCACACGCTCCTTCCTGAGCCCTGCTCTTTCACATGCTCCTTCCTGAGCCCTGCTCTTGCACATCATTCTCCTGGCCCATTATGCTGTTCCTCACCGTCAGAGTCCAGCTGGTCTGGATTTGGCACGAGTCTGCAGTTGTCTCGGTCGTCAGGGATCCCATCATTGTCATCATCATGGTCACAGGCGTCTCCCCTGCCATCCTTGTCATGGTCAGCTTGGTTGGCATTGGGGATGTAGGGACAGTTGTCCATGTTGTTCTGGTAGCCGTCCTCATCGATATCCTGGTTGTTGTCACATTGGTCTCCCACAAGGTCATTATCCTTGTCTGCCTGCAGGGGGTGATGCCATCCAATGTTAACTCAGCCTGTCGTTTGATGTAATAAGTAGCTGTTTCACAATAGGCCACAGTAGGCAGTAAAAAACAGTTCCAATATACACTCAAAAGGTTTTAAGGGCGAAATTGGAGCATTTGCCCAGGTGGTAAGAGAATGTCAAAGCAAGACTGTCTGCTGCTGCAGCAGTGACTTGATGGGAAAGTGCAGCTTCACTGCTTTCAGCTGGTGATCAAAGGCTCTCTTACACTTTCAGAGTCATAAATAGACAAGAACTTTATCATAAAGGAGCATCAAAATAAATCTAAGCTCATGTCTGTTATAATGTCGTCATACCCCGACATCGTTACCTGTCCTGGATTGTGGACCAGTGGGCAGTTATCGCACTGATCACCCACACCATCCAAGTCAGTATCCTTCTGGTCAGTGTTGTAGAAGTATGGACAGTTGTCCTGCTCATTCAGAATCTCTGAGGAAGAGGAGGATAAAGACATGAGCAGATTGATAAAATTCAACCCAAGTCAGTCACTCACTCAAGAGTATTCAAGGTTTGAGTTGTGTTGTTTTTTTTTTTTTTAATTTTATACCAAATTCAGTAGATAGAAGAATCCAGACCAAAGCTGTAAGACAGGGCACACTCACACACCAGTCACTCACACACCAGTCACTCACACATGCACACCTACAGGCAATTTGGTAACTCCAGTTAACCTCAGCATGTCTTTGGACTGTGGGGAGAAGCCAGAGTACCTGGAGCAAACTCCACATACATGTAGTCATGGGGGAGACTCAAACCCTGGCGTCAGTGGTGCCACTGTGCCACCCTAGTTTAGTAATCTTAAACAATAAATGAGTAATCATATGATAGCAAACTGACCATCTCCGTCAATGTCGATGGAACAAGCATCACCCTCCCCGTTGTTGTCCGTGTCCCTTTGCGCAGGGTTGTGTTCATATGGACAGTTGTCACACTGGTCACCAACGTCATCCTTGTCATAATCAAATTGGTGTGGGTTGTAGTGCAGTGGGCAGTTGTCCTGGAGGGATCATGTGTGTGGAAATTACAGACATGGTGTTGATCACTCAGACGACAAAGGAGAACAAGACAAAGACATGTCTGCATTTCATTAGGACTGTCCCGATTGGTGAAATACACATATCTCACAGGACAACCAATCAACTGTAGTAACCAACAAACACCATAAGGACATTACTGAAGAAGCTAGCAGATATCAACATTAATCACAGCTAACAAGAGATAATGAAGCAGGACTGTAACCAAGGTCAGCCAAGAAGAAGGGGTCGTTTCACAAGATAATATAAGAAGGTCCGTTGAGAAGTGGAATTGCTGGCATCGGCACACACACCCTCTCATCCACAATGTCATCATTGTCATCGTCACTATCACAGGCATCACCCTGTCCATCATTGTCAAAGTCCTCCTGGCCAGAGTTGGGCAGATGCGGGCAGTTGTCCTGAAATTTGATGGAGAGACCAAAGTGCTTTAGAGGCACACATGTCTCCAGGAAAGAAGATGACAGAACTGTTAGGCAGGATGCTGCAGTCTTTGAGCGTATATCATATGACTGAGGATGCTTCCTTCTTAGGGGTTATAACATACGACTCAGGATGCTCCCTCCATTCTTAGTGGTTATAACATACGGCTGAGGATGCTCCCTCCCTTCTTAGGGGCTATAACATACGGCTGAGGATGCTCCCTCCCTTCTTAGGGGCTATAACATACGGCTGAGGATGCTCCCTCCCTTCTTAGGGGCTATAGCATACAGTTGAGGATGCTCCCTCCCTTCTTAGGG